GGGGGGCCGGGAACCCGCGGGGAAAGCGGCACCGGGCGGATAAACACGGGGCAAAGGCTGAGAAAAACCGACTGCACGGGAAGCGCTGCCGTGGCCTTGCTGCCGCCGGCTGCCCGAGAAGACATCCTCGGCTTGCTGTTCGTCCCCACAAGAGTGCGATGGACGAGTAGATAACACGACCTTACACGAAGCTACGGAACCCGTCCAGATTTGAGACAATTTAACCACATTACTTGCCAAAAAGAGTACGTAGTTACAATTTCCAGTAAATATCCCCACAAATTACACCATGTCTGTGGTGAACAGTTTTAGGAACAGATCAGGTATTTGTACTTAAAACTAAAAGCTTCAGCCACCTCTTAAGTTTCACTACCCATGGCAGAACTTCAAACACACACACAAAGATTTTTAATTTTTTTTTTTTTTTTTAACAGAACTAGATTGTAAATCTGCTAAATTTGTCTTTCGTTTGGAAAAGAACAAATTATTTTGATACTTGCCGTCTTGCACTTGAGCAGACCCAGGGCCGGTGCACTGCCTCACTGACGCCCACCCCACGCAGCCCTCTCGCCGACGGCTGCAGGAGCCCACGCTAGCGACGAGCATTGAGACCAGCGTTAGGTGACTCTTCTCCCACGTGCTCGTGCTCTCAGCATCTTGTGTTCTCAGAGAGCAGCCTTCCTGATGTTTCTGGCATGTAGATTCACTTTGTTGCACTTTTTGTCAATACTGAACTTGAATATTCATCATACCTGAGTTATACCTGTCATCTTATTTTTTTCTCATCCTGAGGTGTAGTGCTCTGAAGGGGGAGAGAGGAGACAGGAGGAAAAGTGGAGGACAGACGTAACATTAAAACTAAGTATCTCCTGCATATTAGACAGGGCAAAATCAAAGCAGCGTATCTTGCCTTAAAAAAAGCAATGAGGTTGAAGTTTGAGGTGTGTTTTCTGCCTTGTGCAAGTTTGTTTCACCCAGACTAGAGAGTCCAGCCTCCTGCCCAGCCAAGCAGAGTTTCTTACGCCCCACAGAACTGAGTTGGTTTAGCTACGGCTTACACCAGCACCCCAGGGAAACGCAACGCACTAGACAACCTCTGGAAGTGTCCTTCAGCCATGTTTTCTGTAAACCTCATGCTCATCCACAAGCTCTATGTGATCCCTTAGAAATTTGTGTAGTCCTTGAAGAGAAGGAATGTGATTATAGTCTACTGGAGACCAGTGCAGAGAGCAGGGAAGACAGGAGAGCTTGTGCTCACAATGGACGCTGGTGCTGAGATTGCTGCCACATCGGTAGCTCCGTATCCAGCTGTAACATACTAATGCGCTCTAGAAAAGACAAACCCATACAGCACCAGAAAGGCACAGACTTACCTCACTGGAAACAGAAGAAAACCTTACCCATGGACACCATTATGCAGGAGGTTAACTGCAAGAGACATGGAAGATGACAGAAGATACCTATCTTCCATTTGTTAAGGGTAGGAGAGCTGGATCTGTTAAGGGTAGATTATGCAAAAAAAAAAAAAAAAAGGGCCAAGAATATGAACATGTAAGTATTTTTTTCAGTTCGGATTCACTGTCAACATGAGTTAACATACAGGAATAAAGTAATGTGAAGACTATTTTAGAAAAACTGGTTAAGCTACATCTCACAACTTTTTGGAAAAGTATCTCACTTGTGCTTTTGTATTTCTGCTCATAAATATATGAAAAAACTATGCCACTACTAGGAGCTTGCTTTTTCAATTAAAAAGTTTCTGTAAAACACATTAAGCAAGCCTTCTGTTAGTACTTTTTGAAAAATGTAACAGTTAGAAGGCTGAGTAAACTACACACCAAATCTATAAACTCGGCCTAGCACTTCTTAAAAAGCTGGTTTACTGCACATAGATGTTTCCGCCCAACAGGTAAGAAGTAAGGTGCTGCACATGTGGACACATGCTGTTTACTAATCCTTACTGATTCCCATTTTGCTCAGATTATCCATCATTGCTCTTACCACTCTTACAGAAAATGCTGGAAGTGCTAGTTTGACCTCATCCTGTAAGCATTAAAACTTCACAGCACCTATAAAATTAAATTTCTAAATTCCACTGTAAAATTGCTTCTTTAGTCATTCAAAAATTGTAAGAGTTCCTTGGAGACTGAACTTTTTGACTGAATGCATTTGATTCATGCACCTAAATAAGGATCTTTCTATCCTTCCAATCTAAGTCTAATTTAGGAAAAAAGCAATGCTTAGAGGGGAAAAAAAAGCTTAATTATTCAGAAGTTTGGACCTTTGTAATAAATGTATACATAAAACCTGTGTATATTATGTACACACCACATCCAAGATGCAATTAGCAGTTTATTTAAAAACCTGAAACAGATTGTCACTAATGTTGAATGGCATGTTACTTTTTGGCAGCTTTGAGTACTTACTATTATTTTTATGACTATTTCAGGGGGCTCCGAGGTCAGCAGTGTTGTCCAAAAAGATAAAAGAAAGGTGGATCAACAGGACTTGCCAGGTGAAAGGAAGTGTTTACAGAGAGATTTCCAGAAGCAGAAACATATAACTGCACTGTGACAGACCTGGAGGAAAGCAGAGTTGTGAGTTATGAGCCTAAAATAACTGAAATATTTCAAATGGAAGAAGAAACTCAGAAGCCAGGCACCAGAGTCAGAAAATGAAGCAGGTACTTTAAGATTTATTGGAGTTCCACTGGAAAACGTGAAGTGGCAACAACCTGTCACAAAACAATGGAAGTATGACTAAACGTGGAAGAATGAGACAAGAGAGATAAACGGGACAGAAAGAAAGAGTGATATCATCCCCCCCCCAAAAAAAAAAAAAAACCACACACAAATAAATCACCATGATTCTGCCAGGGGAAGGGAAGACAAGCAGGTTTTATGCAAAGAATCACAGGTAATGAAGAAGTGGAAAATACAATGAGTGTGACAAACAACAACTGTCCAGGTAAGGAAGAGGCAGAACAGAAGAAAGTATTTTTACAACATAAAAAGTGAGTGCAGTCACAAATTGTACAAGAAAAAAAATCAGATATATTGGAACAAAAGTATGGAAAACTTACTTGTCCTATGAACTAATGAAGGAGAGGGACAGATTTATCCTCCAGCCTTACTGAAGTTTTAATAAAGAGCTAAAAAAACCTGCTATTGTAATTCCACAGAATTTACAAATATAACATGCTAGCTTCGGCTAGCTGGAACTAGCATTGAACTTCAATGAGAACGTAAATGATTTTTTTTTTTTTCATTTTGTAGATTATTCACACTGCATAACTATGGAAAATAAACTGGGATTTTAAGCCCTTGATTCTTACGCCTGCCATAACTGACCAAATCTAACATTTCTTTAAGGAAAAATAAGATAATTGCCTGTAAAAATATGTCTTAAAAACTTCC